CTGTATTTCCTAAATTATTGCTATTAGACTGAATATTAAGAAGGCTTCAATTGGTGAAAGATCCATCTCTGACTAGACCACACCATGCATAGAACCAGCTATTGTTTGACAAAATAGAAAGGAGCAATTTTAGTAATTTAGAGAAACTAACTCATGCCCTTCTAAAACCAGATCAAATAATTGTTAAGTCTTTAGTCTGATATAATAATGATCTTCAGGCCAAACCTGACCATCTGAACAGAAACAGACATTTTGCCACCAATGCACCTCACCACTGCCTACAGTCTGTTTATCATTAGAGAAACAAAGATGGTCAAGTGACATCCCTAGAGTCTGATCCTAATTCAGAAACAAAGGTAAGGCTCCTTCCCTGCTTACTTGTCCAGCCCTGTCTTCCTTAGACCACCCCACATTTCCTCCCCTATTCAAAGACAGAGTCTGGAGTGTGCTGGTGTAGAAAAATCAGCTCATCCATCTAACAGAAAAATACACATTAGGAGAGAAAGGGGAAAATATGGAATAGGAAACAGTTTGTAAAAAATCACCATCTCTTAAATAGAAACCTTTTGAGAGACCATTGTTGAGTAGGTAGTAACTCCCAGGACAACTGAAGGTAAAATAATATCCCCTTGGTCATCAATAGGTAAAATTTGCCTTTACATTTTATACATTCACTAAAAATATTTTATTTAATTAAAAGGAAACCTTCCAATTTTCTACCACTAAAAATTGGGAGAAAATGACAACAATCGCCTATGATGTTGGAGGTGTCCTCTGGTCTTGGGTCCTGATCTGCCGAAAATTCCCTCCCTGCCCCCAGGCACGTTGGCTTTGTAAATGCCTGAGTGTGGCACCCTGTGGGAAAGATGAGGCTTTGTATGAATGCATTGTTAAGGCAGGTCTTGGGGAACCATGCACGGGGACATAGCAGACTTCTGATCTCTAGTTTGCATTGATCTTACATTTAGACACAGATTCAGAAGAACAGACCCTCCCTTTTCCAGTGCCTTCGGAAAGATTGCCGCTCCGTAGAATGAGTCCTTTCTCCTCCACCCTTAATCTACAACCCAGCTTCCCTGGGAGATCCTACTTTGATTTCCGATCCTCACCCCACCAGCTGAGCTTGCATTCCTCTTTACAGTCTCTCAATGCACCGGGTGAGCTGAGCTCCTCAGACCTTTCCCCTTGATCTCTGTGCCTTGAAGGCATCTCTGAAATGCGTGTTTTGTTCTTGCCATTCATGTGTGTGGTGAGGGGGATGAGCTAGTCTCTGTGTCTGTGGCCTGCTTCCGGTATGAGGAGCATCGGGATGGTGGAGCTTTGTGGTGTTCTTGTTTGTGTGGTGCAAGGAGCAACCATGGAGCTGTGGTCTATGTATAACGGCATCAGAAAGTGATGAGTGAAGTTACTCTTTTTGCACAAGCTGGTACCACCATGGATAACCCGCTCTGTCATCACATGCAGTGGCATAGCACGGCACAGGTGCTAGCTGAGTGGAGGCCGTGGCAGTAATGTTTGCAGCCCTTCTGTATCCAGGAAACCAGCGGTGTCTGGGAGACTGGATCAGTGCATCCAGCCTGGAGTGGTCTGATTAAACATAGACTCAAGAGATCTTTATTGACAAAGTAAAATAAAAGTAAAAACACACCAACAGCAGAAAGCATCCTATAAAGCAGGCAATCCAAAGAGCAGAAAGTGAAAGCATTTTCTGCAAAAGCCTGTGCTCACTGCTAGGACAGTGGGGCTCCTGGCTGAGTGTTTTCCTAGCAACGGGGTGGGATCACTGCTGGCTGGATTAGAAACCCTTAACTCCTAATGCCTAATGACCAAAGATCTGAGTAATCAAAAAGTCTGGCCTCCTGGAAGTTTCCCACAGCCAAGCCGGTTGTGACAGAGCCTAAGGCTGATTGCAGCAAAGCTAGACTTGTGTTCCTTTGTAGCGAACACTGCCTAGCAAATAGAATCTTAAAATATCTAAGATGCAGACCTATTTGATCTCTTCAGGACTATATTGTAATCATGGATACACATGATGCACATTTCACATTTCCAAAGGTTTCTTTTGTTTTTTATTTTATTCTTTTTGCTCATCCCACATTCTGGAATGAAGAAGGCCACAGCATGACAGTGCAAAAAGGATGCGGGGACTTCAAGCTCTCTTTAAAATGACATTTTTCTTTGTGCTTTTATGTTTCTTATTGTTTTTCTGTGCACTATGGCTTCCCAACATGCTTTGTTATGAAACTCTTTTCCCTTGTGTCTAATGTACTGAAATATTGTTACAGTCTTTGTAATGTATATTGTCTCAAGAATAAAATGAAATGTGAGTTTTGGGATATTTGATGGGTGTATTTAAGAGCATTATTCTAGTTGTATTGTTGAATCTTAAATGTGTGATAATGTGTTTAAAATAGTGTAAAAAGATTTCAGAATATTTGTTTTGAAAAAAAGTTGCACAAGGCATGATTCATTTAAAAGTTTTTAAAGCCCTAATTCAGATTCTACAAACTTATTTCCAAAGTTGAATATGAGAGTCAGTTTTAAAACTCCAGGTGTTCCATACTCATTATGCTCTAACACATGAATAGGAATTGAAGTGATAATTGATAGAAACGAAACATAAAAATCAGCCATGAGATGGGAGGAAATGATTCTCTTCCATGTGAATTCATCCCAGAGAAAAGCAAACTAACCAAAAATAAGATCATAATTTTTGTATTTTGTTTTTAACTCAACCATTAGTCCTTTTTTATAGTAAGTTGCTTTTTTAATTCTTGTAAAATTCTTTTAAGTCAGCACGTTATCCTGCAAATGTTTTAGGAATTAGCATATAAAGGCCTTACTAAATAGAAAAATAAATTAAATGATCCTTTCTTTATCCCCCAGTGTTCATCAAAACCACATTTTCTAGATCAGTCCTCGACACCACTAGAAATTGTAGATCACACAGCTTTGAACATTTTAAGACTAGGCAGTCTTCCTCCACCCAATGTAGTTTCTCATGGGGTACAGGTATCCAAATCTTAGGGAAGGGAGAGGGTTGAAAAAGTTCCACAGGGGATTCTAATATATCTCTGAGACCACACTCACTTCTACCATCCCACCTCCCCTCCCTCAGGTGAGAAGGGTCTTCTCTCCTAAGAAGGAGAGGAGGTAGTTTTAACACATTTGTCATATTAATAATAAGATGTATATATTAACAAATGGATTACATTACACATTTAGTTATATTTAATTTGGGCTCAAGTCACAATGAAGACCTTTTGGCATAACCAGAGTCAGAAGTGCCTAGAATAGTGAGAGCAGAATTTTATCAAAATCCAGTGATTTCTCCATTTCAATTAAGCACATTTTCCTCATTTTTAAAACAGCTAGCCTTCTTACTGTGGGAACTTTAGAGGAAAAGATTGAACTTGGAAAGATGAAAAATTCAGCTACAGAGTTCAGGATCAACTGGAGGAGGATTTATTAAATGGTAAAAAGATGTGCTTTTCATTTTAGAAGCGCAGAGAGGCAGTTTTTTACCCAACAAAGTAAACTAATATAAAAAGGGCTTTGTTTTTTCATGGATCAGGCCTCTGGTATCTATATTCAACTGGTGCTTTTTAAGTGTATACAAGTAATTTTTATCAACCTGGTTGTTGTTTCATAGCGTTGATGTGTAGTATCTCTTTGTAGGATGCAATTTTGAGACACAATCTGCACCTTACTCTCAATTAGGCAAGTATACCTATTGTAATTGTTATCTTTTACTTACGTGATTGATGTGCTCAATTTCCTTCACAAAATAAATAGCGGCAGCTTGTCTTATATCAATAAAATTGTCTAGTTGTCATTCTAACCCTGTTATAGCAGTTTCTCAAACTCTTAAAAAATGGAAAAGATGCCTGTAGTTTTTAATGTGATGCCTCAAAGCTTACTTTTTCCCCGATTTTCTTATACATCAATGCACAGCACTCTTTATGAGCACTAAATGTGGGTAAAGGTACAAGTCAGAGAGCACCTGTTTAGTATATGTGATGTTTTAAATTGAGTCCTTTTGGGGTACTAGTCTGTCAGGAGAGACACGTTTTCTTATCCATGTCAATTTTGCTTCCTATCTCTCTCCCCCATGCCTTTCACTTGGAATGACAACAGTTGACATTAAAAAGCTGTTGGCAGGTATGCAATAACCTTATTCTGTTACCCAATAGCAAAGATCAAAGTGCATGTGAGGTGTCTCACAGATTCAATAAATCAGCAATTACATCTCTCGAGTGTGATATGTATAGGTGGCATTTAGAACTTGGGGCGTAACAATGTGTACAAAGACATCATTCTATCTGCACCTAATGTCCGAAATACCTACTGCTCCAGCAAAATTTCTGACGTGTATTAGTTTCAGGAGTAGCACGCAAACTGTGTTTTTTAAGTTATGCAGACAGCAACCTGTCCTACATAGAGTCACAATCACTCATGAAAATTAATTTATGTTGCTTATAGCTTCGCAGCTTATGAGCTTTCACTAGAGCCAAGGAAAACTTCAAAGCAACTAGATGTTAGCACTTCTGCTGAAGGGATATTTCCTGATTTCACTCCATGTGTTTTATCCCTCCTCCATCTAGGACTCTAGCTCCTAGCCTCCCCGCCTCAGGGGTTACACAGGCATCTTAGCGCATCCCCTCTCCCTTTATGTCTCTGGTGCACTGTTCTGCCAGTCACCAGGTGAAGGGACTTGCACCTTCCAAAATCGATGCCACTTCACTCCCGGATCACCTGGTTGGGAGTGCAGTCTGAGCCAGGTAACCCCTGCTGAATCGGTCGTGTGTCCTCCGTCTGCTTCTGGTGCAGAGAGTACCAACTCCCAGGACGTGCCCCTGTCTGCCCTGGCCCTGGACGCCTCCTTCCTGCATGGCAGCATGAAAACGCTACACAACGCTCCTCACCCGCCCAGGAGTATGTTTTGGTGCTGAGCTTGTTGGGTCTGTCTTAATAACCTGATTCCCTTCTGTTGTTCCCAGTGGCCTGGTTTGCTTTCGACCCTGGCTCGGCACACTCGGACATCATCCTCTCCAATGACAACCTGACGGTGACCTGCAGTAGCTATGATGACCGGGTGGTGCTAGGGAAGACTGGCTTCTCCAAGGGCGTTCACTACTGGGAGCTCACGGTGGATCGCTATGACAACCACCCTGATCCTGCCTTTGGCGTGGCTCGCATGGACGTGATGAAGGATGTGATGTTAGGAAAGGACGACAAAGCTTGGGCAATGTATGTGGACAATAACCGGAGCTGGTTCATGCACAACAACTCGCACACCAACAGGTACCCTGCAGCCCCCAAACCAAGCCTTCTTCACGTTGGCTTCTGATCAGGAGTGAGAGCCCCAGTTCAAAAACCTATTACATAGACCATATTAAGGAAATCAAGCAGGTGGTCTACATTAAGTAGCACAGGCAGTCTATGAGCCTCAGCTGAGTCCATGCTGGTGGTTTACTTTTTGTATGATGATAGAGACTTGAGTACTTTCCTAATCCCTTCATTGCTGTATTTCACCCATGGCTGGAAACTAAGAATCCCGATAGATATCCATTATAAGAAAACAATCCAGGATGCTGAAACAGGCAGACCTACAACTTATCAGAAAAGCACTTTTGGACAAATTACTTCGTTTTTTTGAACCTCAGTTTCCAAATCCATCAAATTCGTATAATAAAATTTTTCCATGTGGGAATCTTCTGAAGACTAAATGAAATATGTGAAAATGCCTTACATTGGAAGCACCTGAAAATAGTAGCCATTGTTCTTATTACGATTCATTAAACTAAAGCTTATGGGTGCCAATTTGAATGACTTTTTACTTAAAGAGAACTCTCTTATTACTGTATTAATTCAGAGCACCCAGTTTGCTAAGGAAAGGAAATATAGTAATCTCCTTGAAGTTTTCTTCTACCACCAAAATATAGATAATTATAATTGAACACATACTATAATGGATTTCCTTTCTCATTTGATTGTGTTCTTCAAATGTATTTTTCACAAATTTCCTAGGCAGAGAAATTTCTAATGTGGACCCTGATCCACCTTATGCTCCAAGATTTCCCCAGGATACATTCTCATTAGTGTCTCTGAAAAAAAAAAAAAAATACAGTAGTGTTCAACCAGATCAAAGGGAAAGCAAGTCAGACAGTGGTAGGATAATTGGACTCCACTGTTTTATCTTTTTCTGTATGCTCATCACTGACCCTTCTCCAGCCTGTAGACTCCTAAAGCCTCCTTTTCCCTTGGATAGTTTCTATAGCTCAAGTGTGTATTATTCGCTGTCACTTGAAGTGAACACACACACCATTTCACCATGAAAGCAAATCCTACTGGATGTAGATAAGTGGTTATCTTCAGTGATTGGCATTTTGGGGAACTCTCTGTCAATAGATTCCCAGTGCTATCACCCAAATGCCACACTTACTTTTTCCCTTTTAGCATCTTTTTGAAGTGCAGGAGTGAATAATGACATAACCATCACACTGTGCAGAGAAAAACATTCTTAATGCTAAACACATCTGCTTGCATGCAAACTGCTTGTCACTTGTGCTTTCATTGTTAAACCTGTGAATTAACAAGAGGCAATTTGTAACCTGTCTTTTAATGACTATGTACAGTCTGTATCCTGCATGCAAGAGGAAATGAATGACACAAATTCCTGTGCTCTGCTGAGATGAGAATGAAGTTCAATATTGCTAGATCTCAAAAAAACAGGAAAGACAAATCTGATCATCCATGTTTAATGGCATTTTGTGAAACCATCAATTGAAGCATAAGACACAATTCTTTGTAAAATGGCATTTGTATGCAGGTTCCTTAAAATCACTACATCTCAGAGTATAATTATTTCACTGTACAGAGAAGAAGCCTCTTCTTCAGCGCTGTCATTTCACAGACAGCCTCTGAGTTCTTAATTCAAATGCAACAAGCGAAAAAATTACTATCCTTCTGGAATGAGTTTTTCTGTTTAATGGATAACATAAGGCCCCAAATCCAATTTCTCATGCATGTGGTTTAGGTGCAACCAAAGTGCTTCTTTATTTTGACTTTCAAATTAAGTCACTTTGTATTGAATGATATTTAATTTACACCATTTATACAAAGTGTGCAACATTCCTAGAGTCAGAGCTCTGATAGCCCAAAGGCGACTTTTTCCTGGTCTTTAATGTTTGGTTTTCTACTGCTGTGACTCAGTAGTAGAGACCCTAATGAATGAGTTCACGCTCAGCAACAGCAGAGCAACTCACAAGGGCGGATATCTCCCCCTAGGAAGTGAAAATTGATGGTGGCGGGAGGGAGCAAAAAATCATACTCTTTTTATATATAAAGCACAGATATACACACAGTACAGTACCAACAGGTATACAGTATATCTGCAGTATTAAAATTTATGTGCGAGGGATGATTAAGGAAAAGGTTTTGGGGTAGTGATGATTATAAACAGGTTGCAAGACACTGGTTTCACCACACAAAAGCGGGGAGCTTCTAGAGTGACCACAAGCAAGTGAACCCCCATTTTTTTCTTTTCCTACAGAACTGAGGGAGGGATCGCAAAAGGGGCCACAATTGGGGTCCTCCTCGACTTAAATAGAAAAAACTTGACATTTTTTATCAACGATGAACAACAAGGTCCCATAGCATTTGATAACGTGGAGGGCCTGTTCTTCCCTGCGGTCAGCCTGAACAGGAACGTGCAGGTAAGCACCCTGCCCCTGAGGTTAAACAGCTGTTGCTGGCTGCTAGTTCAAAGGCCGCCCAGGGCCGTACAGTCCAACCGGAGAGAGGGAAGCTGACAGCGTAAGGCCCAGACCAAGACATGAAGGAGAGGAGGAGAGAAAGGGATCAGCCTTGACAACTGCTATTATTCCACGCCAAACATAATCATCTTCTTTATACTTGGACACAGAGTGGTTAATAGCACATAGGAAACTGGAGTTCTCTTCATGATTGGCTAATGATCATCCCTGTAGCTCTAGTTTCACCTCTAAGTAGAAATGAAAGCCTTTAACCAACTGGCATGAAAACAAATGGAATGACTTAAAGCTCCAGGAGTGCCTGGGAAGAGGTGAGGTTGTAAGACTGACACTTTAGTATCGTTATCAGAAAATCTGAGCATCTTCTCTGCACTCTTGTTTGGCTCTGTTAGGTCCTAAGGAGTAGAAAACATAGTCCCTACCTACAAGTTAGTTAATTATTATTTATTATAGAATAAAACAACAGCTTCTTATTCATTCAGGAAATATCTATAGAATGCCTTTAATGTGCCAGGCACAGTTAAAAGTGTTTGGGATACATCAGTGAAAAAAAAAAAAAAAAAAAAAACAGATAAAACTCTTGCCTTCATAGAACTTACATCCTAGTGATAGGAGATAGACAATAAAAAGTCAGCATAATCACAATGTTAATCAGATGGTGTGTCGGAAGGTGATTAGTGCAGTGGAGAAAAGACCAATGGTAGGGTAAAGGGTTCATGAGTGCTGGGGTTGGGGCGGGCAGCCGCAGTCTTAAATAGGATGGTCAGTGTAGGCAGGGCTTATTGCAGTTACCGGTGAGCTGAGCCTTAAAGGAGTGAGGGAGTGAGTTGCATGGAGCCTTCCAGACTGAGGGAATAGCCTGTGCACAGTTTCTAAGGCATGAGGGTCCTTGCCTGGGCAAGGAATGGTGGAGAGACCCTTGGCCTGGGGCCAGAGGGGGACCGGAGCCATGCATGGAGGAAGAGCTGTGCCCTGCCAGCCGCTGTCAGGGCTTAGGGTTTCACTTCCCTCCTGAGCTGGGCCTCTAATCAGCAACTATGAGCCTCATTCCACAAATGGTTGTCTTAAGATAGGGCTTGAGAATTACAACACTACAGATGACTTTTGCCCTACCCAGTACCAGCCTTGGAAACTATTTATAAAAATTCGTTGTTGTGTTTCAGTATGTGCAGTAACACTGATTGCAAACTAGCAGCCCCTGCCCTTCTCTCTTCCTGCAAGGAGATGGGGTTTTCTGGAAGGCTGGAATCTAATCTTTCAGAGTTCAGCCTCTACACTTTAAGAAAAACCATAAATTACCCTAGAAGCGAGTCTCAGAAAGACCTCATTCAGGGATTTTCACATTAGCCATTTCCCTTTCAAAGAATTTTATACTAGATACTCTTCAGGGGTTTTCAGGACCTTTTGATTATCTGTTGATAAAGACTCTTGGGCTGGAGAAGACAGGGACAAGAACTGCATGAAATGGTTCTAGTTTTATCCATAGCTATCCACTGAGGTTTGGGGATATACAGAAATTGGTGAAATAGTATAATGTCATGTTTTTTCACAACTGGCAATCATCTGTGCAACCCCAGAAAGAAATGTTTGCCCTAATTGGAATAACTAGTGGACAAGTAATAAGGGAAGGGTCTGCGAATCGGTCCTGTCTCTGCGAATCGGTCCCCTATCCATGGATTTGGCAGTGGTCACTGTTGTGTGGCCAGCAGGCTCCACTACCTGAAAACCAAGCCTATGTCTTCAGTTGTAAGGAACACAATCTCCCCGGAATCCTTTAAAAGAGGCAGGTGACTGAGAACCATATAATCAAATGTCACCAGGATTTGAGAGCCCGCCATGGTGAGCAGCCTCTTACCATAGGCAGGATTCTTCTTGAATTCCCTTTAATGCCCAGTAGCCTAGATGTTTAAAGAGAAGCAAACAGAACACTTTTTGAGTTAGGGACACACCCACGGTGCACTGTGTAAAGGGACAGGGGGTTGCATGATGTGTCTCAGGACTCACAGTCTCATTCCCCAGGTCACGCTGCACACTGGGCTGCCAGTCCCCGACTTCTACTCCAGCAGAGCATCAATAGCCTAAGGATGTGCCGTGGAGGCACCAGCTGCCTGTTCTTACCTCCGCCTGCGAGAACCACAGCAAGGAGCTCAGCCAGTCGTGGTGGGGTGCAGAGTTGGCAGGAGCAGGAGAAGGAGGAGAGAAAAGCTGGTCCTCTACAGTCTTCACACCCACAGCTCTGCCTTTTTCCCTTTCAACCTCTCCTCTACTGTCATGCCTGCTTCTGCTTCCATGTCCAACAATTCTAACCAACAAAAGACCTAGACAGTCCACCACGTCACTTGGTTCCCACTCCCAGATTTTGCTTTTATTTAACTTAATTTTTTATGTAGGTGAGTTATATTTTCTTTCTTTTCTGATCAGCTTTTTGGTGACTTACTGGACATGCACTGCCAGGAGAAAATTCTCCTGCTAACTTTTTTTCTTAAGCTTTCTATCAAACAATGAGGTTATAGGGGGAGGTAGGGAAGAATGAGCTGAATTTGTAGCATACAGCTTATCTCCTAAAATGTTCTTGCCCTGTTACCTCTCCTGTAGTGTTAGCTCTGCAGAGCTCAGCTTTGGGAGAGTGAATCTATCACCGAGAAGTTTTACTACTCATTGAAGCACAAAAATATCTGCTACACAGGTTCACATCAGGGTAGGATCATTAGGATGGCCCTGTAATTAGGATAGGCCAGAAACCCTGGCCATTGTATAAAACTGGAAAGTCTCTAAGACACAGGCAAACCAGGGGACTCAATGATTTGGTTCGTTTATTTAATACAAGCTTTTAATTGAGAACCTACTATTGACCAGGCACTGTTCAAGACACTAGAACATTATGTTCTAGACACTGTGGGGACACAGTGGTGAACAGACAGGCGTAGTCTCTGCCCTTCAGAGCTTATATTCCAGTAGGAGAAAAAGCAAAAATAAAATAATTACAAATTGTCATATGTACTAGAAGGGAAATGGGCAAGGGTCAAAGAGGCTCATGGGCAAGATCTTTCAGGCTTCCTAGAATGATGCTAAAAATCCACACATTCTGGGCATAGCACCAGAAATGTACCAACTCAATGCCCTTTCAGCTGCGCTATTTAATTATGGTACCTGCTGCCACTCATCGCAGAGCCCTTCTTGGTAGAAATGATGTCAGCATTCTTATTTGCTGATGCTGCTATGATACCACGCCTTAAAAATTGAGAGCTGAAAAAATAAAGAGTGACCAGAGGGCAAAGGACCCATTCTCAGTAATGGGGGATCTTGAGTTGCAGTCCACAGCATTCACATTCTCAGGATAAACATGCTTGTCTCCATTAGACTATCTGTGCCTGTTCTGAATGAAAAATCCATCCACTCTGCTGCCATTCACAGCCTAATTTTCTGGAGTAGTCCAAATAATGTTTGGAAAAACGTGGGGTTGTATGTCATTACTATGACTGATAGCAGAATAATAATGCATCTTACTTCTATATAGAGATAGACTTACATAGGTTACCCTTGAAATTCGTTAGTTTGACGTGAAGTTTTAGGAAAGGTAGGACCCAGAAAGAAGTTCTAATTAGTTGTCTAAATATTTTTCAGTGAGCCAAGAAATTCACCATGACAAAGCAAGAATAACAAATAGAAGGGAAGAGGTGGGATGGGAAAGCTAACAAAATTTTGGCAAAAAGGAATATATGTAAATAGCTAATTATTTACTTTTGTGCTTACTTTATTTAGATTAGTTCTATCAGTTACAATCTTTTTCTAGTTAAGTGTACCTAATTTATGGAATGGGTGCTATCCTGTTTATGTGCGTCTTGGTTTTTCTTGTGGCTACAGAAAAACTGTTGCAGGACAACACTAGTTTGATATTTGATTTACTCTCCAATGAGACTCGATGGCTGGGCCGTGGTAGACTCATAGTTCCTCTTGTTCTTTATTAAATTCATCCTGCTAATTAGATTTCTAGTGACTTGTAACATGTAGTTTACACTGAATTGCAATTACAGATGCATACAACTACTATACTAGAAAAAAATTGTCATTTCTGGTGTGCCAATAAATGATTTTTATGAGAGAACAAAATGTCTCTAGAATGTCTTAGTTTTTCTCTACTGGGGATGACAGTTCACCTTTGTCAGAGCGATGTTTCTTCAGCACAGTCTCATTGGAAAGGCCCCCAGATCTCTGGAGGGCTTGTGTTCTTTCCCCTGTTTCCTTGGGCATGTGGCACTGCTTTTTGGTTTTACTCATCTGAAATTTAACCTCATGTGAAATGTCCAGTGGAGATGTTTGGGGTCTGCCTCCAAGCACTGGGGATTTACTTCCTTTTTTTTTTTTTTTTTTTTAGACGGAGTCTCGCTCTGTCACCAGGCTGGAGTGCAGTGGCACAATCTTGGCTCACTGCAATCCCACCATCCCACCTCCCGGGTTCAAGCAATTCTCCTGCCTCAGCCTCCCAAGTAGCTGGGACTACAGGCACATGCCACCACGCCGAGCTAATTTTTTTGTATTTTTAGTAGAGACAGGGTTTCACCATGTTGGCCAGGATGGTGTTGATCTCTTGACCTTGTGATCCGCCCGTCTCAGCCTCCCAAAGTGCTGGGATTACAGGCGTAAGCCAACGTTCCTGGTCTACTTTATTTTTTAAAAGCCACAAATTTGGCTTGCAATTTTATAGTACTGCAAAACAGAGTTTCACTAACTTTCAAACCTAGCTCCTTTAACATTTCTTTGAATGGTGAAACAATACCATTGTTTTTAAATAATTACAACATTATTCATCTACCTAACGTTAGCCACTAAAAAGAACGCTTTGTTTCTTGATTAAAGGTAAAACATTACCTACAAATATATGGTCTGAGTTATAACCTCACAGAGTGGAAGAGTACACAGTTGGTAGCTGCTACTGCTCTCTGTTCATTCCAGTTTCTGCACATTCCTCTTTCTGTCATAGAATCCTTGGGGTGTCACTTCACCAGCCAAAAACCTCTGTGGCTGTCAGCGCCTTCTGTCTGAGTACTGCCTGCACCTGCTGGGCTCGTTCTGCCCACTCAGCCTGGCAGGTTGCGCTCAGCTCACACTACCAGCCTGGATCCCACACCTGCCAAGGGTGAGTCAGCCACAGAATGGCAAGGGATGTGTGGGCAAGTGAACTCTGGGTCTGGCCACTGCACACAGCCAGGCATGCCGATTGCTGCGGGAGGGCAGGCAGCTCCAAGCTCTGGCACAGATGTTGGCTCTGTAAGAGGCTATGGCTGGACCAGATGTACTGCACACAACTTCCACTACAGGAACATGCATCTGGCTGAAGGGTATGTGGTGGCATCCAGAAGCTTGGAGACACCAGGAACCACAGAGCCCCAAAGAGGGTGTCACAGCCCTGGCTCCGGCTGTGACACCGGAGTATGGGCTCCCAGAAGAGCCACACCTCTTCTCTCCTTCTCATCACCTGCAACATGGCAAGCTGAGGGTGGCATCTGAGGGTTTCAGCCCTGTTTGTGTTACAGCTCTTTCAGTCCCACCATTCAGCAGGTCCCAAGTTCTTGTCCTGTACCCAGGAAGAATGAGGTACATGGACAACTGGAGGGTGAGCAAGGCAGAGAGGAGCTTCACTGAGTGACAGAACAGCTCTCAGGAGACCTGAAGTGGGTAGCTCCCTCCACAGACAGGTGACCTTGATGTCTGTGCAGACCCCAGCAGAGAGGAGACCCAGAGTGGGTAACTCCTTTCTGCTGGTAGTGTCAACGTCTGGCTGAGCCCAGGGTTTTTATGGGCTCAGAAGGAAGGAAGTGTGTACTGATCGATCCATAGGCAGCAATGGAAGGGCCTGGAAAAAGCATCATCAGTTCTTACTCTGGGCCACGGACTTGCCCCAAAACTGGCAGCCTGGCCCCCAGGCTTCAGGCCATCCCTTGCTTGAAGGTAGCAGTTTCACCAGGGACCTGCCCTTTTCTGTCCAGGAGCATAACTGTCTCCTGCCGCCATCAACATGCCTTCCACAGTACCCAGGATGTTCGTGCTGAGGGGTGCCTGCAGGCCTGCACTGAGCTGTCTTCAGCTCCACCTCAGCCTTCCTCCCATGCTCATCAGCACCCAAAGTCCAGAGGGGGCTGAGGCGTCAGAAGGCTGGTGCACACGCACACCTGGGGGCGGTTCCGACAGCACCTGGGCTTGACCACAACTTTGCTCCAGCCCGGAATGGGCACCAGGAGCAAGGAGAGGCCAGGGAACAGGAGCAGGTACTTCTAAGCCCATGGGTAGAGGGGAGTTTCCCAGGCCCCAAGAGCACAGGGATGCCCAGGTCCAGAGTTATGGCTGGGCTGCTGTAGCTGCGCCTGGTAGCATGGGGCTTTCGCCCTGCCAACTCAGTAGAGAGCAGGGCTCTCGCCTGTTCCCAGTCCCTACTGGCTCCAACAAGCACACAGCCCCAGGCTCACCTTGCCCCCTGCAGCCAGAGCCTTTGCAGCAGTGGCTCCAGGTGGGCCGCTGGCACCATCATTTCCACTCTACCATGATACTTTTTTCTTCTTCCTCTGTTGGTCTCTTCTCTCTATCTCTCTTCTGGTTTTCTGCTCTTGTTTACTACCTAATGGAACACATTACTTATGTTTTACTCTTCTCGTGGTACTAAAGTTAATGGAACTTCTGATTCCCCATATTTCCTTATAGGAGTGATTAAGTGATTTGCAAGAAATCATTGTATTTTCTAGAAATGAGGTCCCTTTATTCCTCCCTCTACTGTGGGCATTAATCTTTTGCCTATCTACTCAACTCACTGAGAAGAAAGGAGGGCTTGCTGTTGAATCCAGATTTCTGACTATGAATCAAGGGAACTATAATAAACAAACAAATTATCTGGTCACACTACCTTATTATTTATATGAGCACACTAAAGACACCTGTATGTATTTCTCAAAATACGTGCTGGCCATTTCCACTAAGGCTGGTGTTTAGGGAAGCTTGGATCTGGCATAATACATCACATACAACTGAGGCTACCTAAATGTTGTGTTTATCTGAAGAACCAACTTTTTGGATAAACACAGAATTTGGAGTACTAAATATGAGTGAACAAAAAAAGCAACTAAATAGATGTACAGAAACCTCAGTCTAGGCCTTTCAATTTGTTACTTCTTCACCCTACCGTAGCTGTGTGAAGAGAAACTATAGAAACAGATGTGTGGGCCACTGGGAAAAAAGAAAAAGGATCAACATTTTATCAAATTTCCAGTACAGAATTAGATAGTGGTGGTGGTTGCATAATCTTGTGAATCTACTAAAAACCACTGAAATATATACTTTAAGAAGGTGAATTACATGACATGTAAATTATATCTTAATACAAAAAGAAAAATTCCATGACAACATTCAAGTATCACTCAGTGGGAAGCAAAGTGTATGGACAGTGCAGGAGCGTTGTCTCAGGCCCCATCAGGCAGGATGCCATCCTTTGCCAGGGCTGTGTTGTAATGCGTTCACTGTGGGGCCATGTGAGACTGGGAGTCTAATGAGTTCTCTACTTCCAGCCTCCTTCAAATTACCCATAATAGTCTGCTCCTATTTCCCTAAACCTGTCCAGATGCAATAAGCTTCTCAATTTTCTAAAGCTCCTCTCCAACTTATATTTTATATTCTAAACCCTCCTGTATTATTCTTGTTCATACCTCATAGCCTTCTGTTTTCTTCCCTAATTAAATGGACCCATCTTTATCTTATCTAAACCCACTTCTAGAACCAAAGATTTATGGACTTTATTGATTTACTGTTAGGCTGCCATTTAACAAACAATTTTTAAGGAAAGATGGAGATATTAAATATGAACTACTCTACTCTCTGTTTCTGAACTGCATTTTCAACCTAGTAGTTTAATTAGTTTATAATGAGCAAATCACCTGCAGTAAATGAGGATCCTAATTTTTCCTTTTGTAATGCTGATTTTCATATGTGATCTCAATATATTTTCCTAATTGCCTGGCGGGCACTGTTTCTGTCAGATGTGAAGAAATAAGTCTGCAGGCTTATTGGTTGGGCAGGCTTGAAATGATGACTAGATGAAGGTTAATTGTAGCTTCTCAAGAGGTTGATTTTATCGTTGGCATTTTGGCAGAAATAAGAGGCTTTGCAGAATATGCAAACTTTATCTAGGTGTAGTGTTGTACTGAGACCTGATATACCAGCAGAAAACCACAAATTTCTTTATAGGAAAGAAATCACTCAGTCTTTAAAATTTCTGAGGTCCAGCCAAACCTCCATGCCACTATCAAATTCTACATCTTCAAGATTTCAAGGCATGCCAAGAATTAACACGTATGCTGAGGCTAAGCTAGCTATCATCCTAGTTAAGGGGACACTTTGCTTTGATATTAAGAGAATCTGAGCACCTGCCCTCCTTGCTTAGGGATGGGGAAAGAAAGAATCCCGAGGAATCAGATGAAACACTGAGTCTTTTTTTTTTTCCTTTTTTCTTTTCTTTTTTTTTTTTTTTTTGAGACGCAGTTTTGTTCTTGTTGCCCAGGGTGGAGTGCAATGGCACGATCTGGGTTCACTGCAACCTCTGCCTCCTGGATTCAAGCGATTCTCCTGCCTCAGCCTCCCGAGTAGCTGGGACTACAGGCATGTGCCACCAAGCCCAGCTAATTTTGTATTTTTGATAGAGGCAGATTGTCTCCATGTTGGTCAGGCTGGTCTCAAACTCCAAGGGGAGTTGGGATGTGAAATCAGGGACCCAAAAGAGTACAGGATACACAGGCGCACCCAGTGACCAGGCGATTCACATGCATCATACACCATGCTTTTTGTTTTGTTTTGTTTCCCTTTTTTACCTTTTTTTTCTCCTTTAGGCATCAAGTTTCATTTCTAAGCTCTTGCCGGGTGTCTGGCAGTAACCAAAGGAAGCTTTATAATAACTGGGGTACATTCCTAGTAAACAATGTCAAAGACACTGTAAAAGGAGAACAACTAAGGAACATCAGTTGTCCCACAAAATTGACCTGACCCAATCTGATGTTTTTCATGGTCTGACTCCTTCTAGAGCTAGAATAATAATAGCAATCACAATTTTATTTCTCAGATGCAAGCATTGT